TGCGAATCAAGGAGATGAATAGAATAGTGATTAATAGTATTGATTTTTCATATGATTTCTATTCATAGATTCAATATCATTCTACCACTTGAATGCGAATGAAAGATAGGAATAGAATTTTTGTGCAAAATATTCATTTGCCACACGATCTTTTCTCATAGTTCCAACATCATTCTACCATTTCGAAGCGAATGAAAGAGATGAATTGAATGTTACTGAATAGTATTGATTTGTCATATGATGTTTGCTGTTAGATTCAATATCATACTAATACTTCGATGCGAATCAAGGAGATGAATAGAATGTTACTGAATAGTATGCATTTGTCGTATGATTTCTGCTCATAGTTTCAAGACCGGTCTAACACTTCGAAGCGATTGAAAGAAATGAATGGAAGTTTTGTGCAAAGGATTCATTTGTCAGACGCTCGTTACTCATAGATTCAACATTATTCTACCACTGCGATGCGAATCAAAGAGATGAATAGAATGTTGCTGAATAGTATTCATTTGTCATATGACGTTTACTCGTTGTTTCAACATGATTCTAACATTTCCAAGCTTATCAAAGAGATGAACAGAATGTTAGTGAATAGTAGTCATGTGTTACATAATATTTACTCATACCTTCCATATCATTCTACAAGTTCGATGCGAATCAAAAAGATGAACAGGATGTTGATGCGTAGTTTTCATTTGTCATATGATGTTTACTCATAGATACAACGCCATTGTAACACTTCGAAACGAATCAAATAGTTGAATAGAATATTTATGAATTGTATTGATTTGTCATATGATGTTTACTCTTAGCTTCAACGCAATTTTAATATTTCGAAACGAATCAAAAAGGTGAATAGAATGATAATGAAATGTATTCATTTGTCATATGATGTTTAGTCATAAATTAAATATTATTGCCTCACTTGGATGGGAATCAATGAGATAAATAGAGTGTTTGTTAGTGATAATCACTTTTTGTTTGAGTTTTGATGAAAGTTTTCGTGAGATGGCTTCTCTAGAAAAGGGATGGGATAGTCGAATGAAGCTTTCACATTGTAAATACGTTTGATAGGTAATTGTGGATAAAAACATGAAGATGTCCTTTTCTTATGAAAATACTGATATAGATAAATGGAAGTATAGATGATCAAGTTCAGTTGTTATGCAGTGTGAAAGAATGATTGGTATAGTTCGATTAGGATGGGGTATTGAACGAAATAGGTGAGAAGTAGTTCCGTAGGTAGAAGCTGCTAAGAATGATGCTTCAATGGAGTTACTAAAGCTGTAGCTTTGTATGGACATGATGGAAATAGAAGAATAATCCTTCGTGCGTATTATTTAATTGCCATAGTTTGTTTGCTTTCGCTATTTAATTCATACTTATGGGTTAAAAGGAAGCAATAATGGTATGATGTCTGGATTGATACCATTTACCTTCTAGACGAACATGATTAATGATATTAATGCTGAGGCTTGGCATGGGATTCAATAACAGTGATGAATACAATTTTCTTTGGTAGTATTTGTTTGCTATGTGAAACAGAATCAAATAGTAATTTGAATGATTTTTTGTCTACGTCAGGCACATATTTGAATGGTACCTTTACGATTAAATCAGTAAGTTAAACATCTATAAAATTTTTACTACAAAGCCAATAAATATATTTTTTCTTTCTAAATAGCACGAACTCACTCTGGCTTTACCTCATTAACCAAGAAAATGTCAAGGACATTATTCCCGCTTAGTGTAGCTATCATCTTTATTCTTATTTTTAGTTGGCTTTTTTTTACTTCGTTCTATTTATTTAACATTCTTATATATCAATTTTTCTTCAATTCTTCGTTTTTTTCATTTGTTTTGTAGCATTTATTAGTTTTCAATAAAATTTCATAACCAACCAGGATTTTTTTAATAATGTACAAAGCACATAGCGCAAGAGAGAGAATGGAAAAGAATAAAAAAGAAATAAAAGAAACAAAAAAGCAGAAATAGAAAAGAAAAACAGATAGGACACCATATCAACATTGCATTAAACTTATGTTGCTTAAGCCGACGGCCAGAAAAAGGAAAAAAGTAGTAAATACCACTGTATTGATATACGACTGTCTACATGTCTTTCATGAAGACTCTGGCTGTTACGCATTGAAGAATTCTTTTATTCTATGGGAAAGTTTTAGAAGAGCTGTTTCTACATGAGAGGAATGAGACATCGTCTTTTTGAATTGTGATGACTAGATATCTTTTTTTCTATTGTCTTCATCACTTCTCTATAAATAACATATTTGAGATAGAGAATATGAAAAGCTACACAATTTTTATTTATACAGTAGAAAGCTGGTGGATTCATATGAAACAGATATAACTCTTATTGATCATAGTACGTCGTTGAAAAGGAGAGGAAGAGAGAGCATATTATTTCGGTAAGCTCGATTACTCATCGAATGGCTTGTGTCTGAGCTTTGACCAGCAGCTAAAATTAGTATTAATAATTAGTGCTGGATAAAGAGAAAGAGTGAGAGAATAGCCCTAAATGTAATGTTTGTATGTAGTGTTGGTAAACAATCTAACATGTGATGTTTAGAACGCATCAACCATCAATATGAAAAAGCAAAACGTGAATAGTAAAAATTAAAAAAAAGGACGAAAAATTAACATATCGAAAATCTATCGATGCTATGCACATCAAGTTTTATTCAATTCCATCACAATTCCAGACAATTGACTGAGAAAGAAAAGACAGAAAGAGAACGACGATGAATAGGCAAAGGATAAATGGGACTTGAATCTTTCAAATAAAGACTAAAATTCAGGTTTAGAGGTCAGCTGAAAATCATTGAAAACAAGCTCTATATTGTTTTTCTTGCGAATAATAGTTATAGTAGAAGAAAATTTGCTTAGATGATTCTAATGATGAGGGTGTGGGTAGTTTTGTTCTTTCATTTATTTAATTCCCATATCACAGCAAATCAAATGAATCGGCTTATCTCCTTTTTTATTTATCAAATAGACACATTCAGATAAAAACAAATAAATTTCACTTCTATTTCGATATTTCGAAGATATTTATTAATTATTTTCTCTATAATAACACATGAAATTGATTGTATCTATGTAAAAGTTATGGTTACAATCAAATTTTGAAGAGTATAGCGATATTTTAGTTTATTATTAGTATTCTTCTTATTAAACAAAACTTCAACATCGTAGAAAATGACGCCGTTATTATTGATGAAAAACAAAACATGTACATATCGATTTATTCTCTATACACACATGTAGGTAACATGAGAAGGAAAAGAAAAAGAAATGAGACAAAAAAAAGAGAAATCAAAACTAAATTAACTAGAGCTTAAAAGAATTAATATTACAAACATACACACATGTGATATCAATAAAAGAAATTTAGTATTGATATCTCTGATATAATGTGTATTAGAGTTGGTGATGATATTTGTTTTGTACTGAACGAACAAAGTTATCGGTCGACTTGTGCATGTATTTTTTCTTTTTTTGTTGTTTTTCTCTTTTTTGTCTTTCTGTTCTTCTTCATGATGTTAAAAGGGAACAATAGAGAGAAAGAGAGAGCCCATTATAACGATAGGTAGCAAGTATATGATAAAAAAGAAAATAATAAGTGACTCACGCCTGTGCAACTTGTGTCCAATATTAATAAGAGAGAAAAAGACAAAATAAAGATTTACTACTGTCTTCGTGAAACTTTGATAAATTATTCTATCTACTTAGTACTAAAATAACTATGAAGTTTAATACTAGTCCCTCCTACTATGACAAAGAAACTATAACAACATTATCATGTATTATTTTATCGTTTATTATATAGCTATATCATAATGAAAATGTGTTACAATAAATCACTCAATGGAATAAATAGAAAAAATTGAACTAAATATGAAAGGATGTAAAATAAAATAAATGTATGATATTTCGATGTTTTTTTCTTGTAACATCATCAGATAGGTATTGAATGATTAAATACAATGATGATAAATAATTTAACTATTTTTTCATTCATATAAAATCAATGAAAGCAAAACAAAAAAAAAGGAATTTTTGTTTTTTGTCATTCATATGTAAGTTTATATTTAAAGAAACTGAAGCAATAATAACAAGTAAAGAAATTAAAGAAAAAAAGCAAAAATGACGAAAGAAGTATGTCGAATCATAGACATAGTTAACAGAGAACATAAAAGGAAAAAAAAGAAATGTATGAATTATAGAGATTATACAGAAAAATAATTGTACTTATTATGAGACAGTATGTATATTATTTTGTTCATTTTATTATTGACAAAAAATCGATCATGTTTCATCGTTGTTTATTTGTTAAAATGCATACAAGATTGTCATAGTTGCATCTAAATGGAAAGAGAAAAAATGAATGAAATTATTCAAAAAAATAACTTCTAGCTAGTTAGATACAAACTATTTATCAGCATCAATATGAGGTTTACGTGTTAATTCATCAACTTCGTCTTCTTCTTCTGTAAGTTATTCATTTAATGAAATCATAGGATGCTTCAATTCAGTAACACTAACACAAACAATACCATATTTATCAAATAAATAACATGTTTCATGTATATCATCTTCTATTTCTTTATTATTTGCTTTTTTGTTGAATTTCTTGTAAATCAGCTTCTAATGATGATAAAACATATTAACGAGGAATAATACTTAAAATTGATAAGCACTATTTCCATTTTTTTTGTATAAAAATAAAACAAACATTTTCATATCGAGTTGTTATGCTGCAATCATATATACCTTATGATCTTTATTAAAGGATGAAAATGCTACATAATGTAAACGCATTTTATTGAAACCACTGAATCTTCTTTGAGTTTTTATTTTAATCAAATCAAAATAAACATGACATAATTCTAAATGTTGAGTAAAGAAAAAGAAAAAAAAATAGATTATTTTTCTGTTATTAATAATATGATTTTCTTTTTTTCTCTTTTATTTGTATGACTATGTCAGGCTTCGAGGTCAATAATCGATGTTTGTATATTAGGTAAATGTTTCTTAAAATTATCAAGTTTAAATAATATCTTCATAATTTAATTGACTTTTTTCTACATAATTTACAAAAATTTGACATATGATATACATATGCAATTATTTCAATAGATTCTTTTAAATAGCCAAAAGAAATTATTTCTTGATCAAATTTTTTATCTAATTCCATAAGTTTAATTTTATCATTAGCAATAAGTAATTCAACAGCAGATACTAGACGAAAAAAAGAAAATAATGATATGTTATTTTTAAAAATCCACAAACCATTATCTTCGTTTGATATTGTTTTTCAATTGAATTTCAGCTTTAGTTTAAATTTCATCAAGATGCGTTCTAGCCTCATAATGAATAATACTTTTTCCCACTTAAGCAATCAACGAAAAAAGAAAAATCATACATAAGCATGTGATAATTCGTTTGAACAGTCATTGTTAAATTAGCATATGATTCACTTATTTTACCATTAAAGAAATTACTGTATGTTAAATAAGAGAATTTAATTTTTACATATTTCAATGATTATTATACTATGCTATATTTGTTTTGTTACTTGTAGTATTTTGTTCTTTACATTTGACAACACTTTGAGAATGTAAACTAAAAGATTTATCTGAATTGGTTTTTTTTTAATAAATAAAATAGATTCTTAACATGTCATATAAAATTTAAGAAAAAGCAATCTTCGTCTTTTTTTGAAAATTCAAATCATACAATTGAGATATTGCCGTCCATTCACTCATATTACGATCGAGAATCGATCGTTTGATTAATAGAAGAAAGATAATTTTAAAAAGATTTTATATAAGAAAAAGATAAGTGAAAGAAGAGAAATGAATAAAATAATCTTACTACAGTATTCGTTTCAATTGCTACATGCAATTTTTAATAATCAGATCATTTTGACCTGAAAAGAAAGAACATTGATCAAAGAAGAAAAATAAAAAATTGTCTGTTGTTCTTGAGATATATGATAAGTTTGTTTAATTCGAATATGATAATTTAATTTTCGATTGAATATTTCTAATTCTTTCATTAAATAAAAATTATTTTAAAATAGAGTCAAGATAAAAAGATTGACCTTGTTTATAATTCAATAGTCTATAATCACATTTTCATGAGTCATCAAATCAATGTCCAATGAAAGATCCAGTGATGCACTTAAGATGAAACTCATTTTGAAATGCTCATATGTGCAGCATATGAAGTATATATTATTGATAGGGACTATTTATGATGTTAAATTCTTCTGATCAAATATAATCGTGACACTGAACTAAAACCATGGAGTTGATGTAACGACATCTTACTTTGTATTTGTTTTCAAGCAAAATTGGTTTTAATATTATGAAATTGCGACTGTTGTAGAACGCCATTATTTACGTGAAACTCATCTTTCGCAAACATAAGATACTTAGGGTTATCCAAAAGTAGTGGCGGAGACCTTTTTTTTTCTTATTTATAAGTGAAAAAAAAATTCTCTTTTTACCAATCGATAGAGCGAAAGATGCTCTATTTTTCTATGCTATTTGATCAATATTCAACTAAGAACATTATAATAAAATCTGGGCAAAACCTTTTTTCGTTGAACTCTAGCTGGTTGTAATAGTGCATAAAATCATCTACACGTGTTTTTTTTTCGCTGTTTTTCCTTTTTTTTCTCGTTCTTTCATCATAATTTTCTTATCTCTTATAATAACTAGTTATCTATATATTTCATAGTGAACAAGAAGTAATAGTGATACAACAAAAAAAAACTACAAGGACGAGTTTATCAATTGTTTATTTTATCAAATGTTCGAAATAACCACCTTGATTATCTATACATAATTGCATTCTTTCCATCCATTTTTCAAAGGTTTTCTTGTATTCTTCGTTACTCAAAGAATACATGAAATTGACCACCGCGTCATATAATGATTGTGAATCACTTTGATCAGACAGATTATCTTTGATTAAGTCAAATAACCAAAAATCGCAAGGAGATAGGTCCGGAGAATTAGGTGGATGTGGCATAATTGTAAAACCTTTTGATTCAAGATAAGTACACACATCCCTATGAACATGTGGTTTTCCATTGTCATGATAAATTTTAATGTCATGGGTTCCACATGAAGGTCTTTGACGTTTAATTTCATCGATAAGAGGACGTAAACAATTATCAATATAATAACGATGGTCCATAGTCTGTCCTCGTTCCAAACGATGAATAAGCAGAGGACCGTTCGACTTGAAAAAGATGGCTAATAAGGTCCTTGGAGCATACTTACTTTGACGAACTACAGTAGGTGGAGGATCTCCTCTTGTCACCCACGCTGCATTTGACGACTTTCGACCAATCTGTTTATGATAAAACCACGATTCGTCACCAGTAATTATGTCACATAATCGCCATGTTCCTTGTTGAAATTTTGATAAGTTTTCTTTACATATTCGAACTCGTTCAGCCCGTTGAAAATCAGTAAGATCTTTCGGTATATAACGTGCGGTAATTTTCCTAAGGTTTAAATGATTGGTGATGATTCGATGAATCGTACCGTAACTTAAATCAGTTTGCTCTTGTAACTCTTCTATTGTAAGATAAGGATCATCATCGATAAGCTGACGAATCTGTTCGATGTTTTCAGATGTTGTTTCAGTGATAGGTCTACCAGGTCGTGCTGTATCTTCAAGTTCTTCTCGACCATCACGAAATAACTTGGACCATCTTTCCACTGTTCTAAGAGAAGGAGCTTGATCACCATAAACAGAATACAATTCATCATGAATAATTCTTGCTTGAATATTAAATGCAGTACGAGTTTTGATGTAAAAACGAAAGTTTTCTGTACTCATTTGAAACAAGAAAATAAGGTCAGACTTAAACTTGATTTCCTTCAATCTTTTTTGAATATAAACAAGTAGACGACACGTGCACACAAAAATAATACGACGGACGTATTAATATATATGAGAATAATGTGTATGGAATGATTAGTTATTATAAGAGATAAGAAAATTATGATGAAAGAACGAGAAAAAAAAGGAAAAACAACGAAAAAAAAACACGTGTAGATGATTTTATGCACTATTACAACCAGCTAGAGTTCAACGAAAAAAAGTTTTGCCCAGATTTTATTATAATGTTCTTAGTTGAATATTGATCAAATAGCATAGAAAAATAGAGCATCTTTCGCTCTATCGATTGGTAAAAAGAGAAAATTTTTTTCACTTATAAATAAGAAAAAAAAAAGGTCTCCGCCACTACTTTTGGATAACCCTAAGTATATAGATAGTGAATATGCCATCTGTTTTCATAGGTTTTTGTCACATTTTGTTTTCTGACTGTTCTATCCGAACTAGGTTTCGCCTTTTCTAGTGCATTCGACATTGATTAGCATTTCTTCCATTATACTCTCTATCATCAGATCGCGTACTAAAACAAAGCAGGACATTGACGATGCAGACTTTGGTTAATTATGGATATGCTTGAATAAAAAGATGAGCAATTGTAATTAACAGATTACACAAAGTCTTTGTAAAGTTCATTTTTCTAGTATATGATAATCTCAAAGATTATTTTCTTGCATATTTTATTCTCAAAGTACCAGAAACATAGGCGTAGTGGAAGTGATGGGCAATTAAAAACAATGCTCAAAACACAATGTTTTTTGACAGTAACAGCAATAGATACATTCACTCTCATCGCAGCTAGTATTCCAGCAACTATCAGCTTTGAAAGAGAAGCAGATGTTTATTACGCTTGAGAATTTCGAATATTACTATTGAATATAATCACAATTGGACTAATTAAGCAAATGAACTCATTGGTTGGAAAACAGTAGAACTGAGTTGATAATGAACTATAAAATAAAAGACTCTATTGCATGATCGAACAATATTAGAGTGAGTAACGCTTCAAGATAAGAGTCTATAATGTAGTATTCTCAGATAGCTCTTGGAAAAGTGCAGCGCAGACCAAACATTTGAATTCTGTGTATTTAACTTCAACATTCAATATCAACAAAAACAAAAACATTCTTTCCGACGGAAAAACAAAACTTTTAGGACATGCTAATGACTCTGAGGTCTATCTATGGAGAAAATTCAAGAGGAAAAAAACAATAGATTTTGGCATCCAAAATCTCTAAAATCTTTCAAAATCTTTTGAGTGGAGGATTTTAAATAAGTGATGATGCTAGTAAATTCGATGATGGAATTTCTGCTGGATTTGTTGAATTTGATGATAATGGTGCAAATAATGAAAATGAAAAATTTTCATGATGAGCAGCAAATAAACTAGCATCAGATGTAGGTATATGTAAAAATTGACGAATCATTGGTGATGATACTGATGGCGGTGGTGGTGGTTCAGTTTCGGTGTTGATGAACATTTATCACTTGTTGAAATTTTTGATAATGTGGGTTGAACAAGAATAGATACGGCAGGAGTAGTCGATAAAATTGATACGGTTGTTGTGGATGTGGGGTGGGTGTGAGGTGTGGGTGTGGGATGTGTGTGGATGTGGGTGGGTGGATGTAGGTGTGGGTGGCGTGTGTAGGCGTGGGGTGTGCGTGTGGGTGTGGGGTGTTGGCGTCGTGTGGGTGTTTATCCTGTTGTACGCACACCGACACCGACACCTACACCCATACCCGCACCCACACTCACATCCCACCCTCAAGAAATATAAGCTTCTAAAAAGATATTTTCGCGACGAGAAAAACCGTAGGAGAATCCTTGGGCTCAAAGGAGCTTTTGCGTAAGTGTCGTGTTCGACTTACAGACATATATCAGACTGAATTCAGATTATAGACGATCAAAGAAAATTTGCAAATTTGTTGTTGTGAGTTCATTGTTTTAATCGCTAGTGAATTCTCTTTTATTTTAACGATTCTATTTGATCTCTGATAAGCAAAAGAGTATAGATATGTTGATTCGTCTTGCTAATGAATATACCTATTACTGAATTGTGTTTTTTCGTAGTAATGAAAGTTTCTAGAGACATTTCTTAATTTAATTTTCACCAATAGAAGGCTATCTTCTAAATTAATAGAAGTTTCTGTTTGTAATTTAATGTGAAATACCTGAAATACAACTTTGCTGAGTATGAAATTTTTTCGTAGTCGATCATGAAAATTTACACTTTCAAACACTTTTATTCGACAACAATCACATAAACTTCATTAAAATTTCATTAGTCTGGTATAAATTAAGGTAAGTTTTCTTGTTCTGTTATGAATAACAATTGTATGAATAAATTACACGTCTGAAAACGAGTAACACGAGTGGTACAATGTATATTTAATGACAAATGAATATCAAAACCTAAAAAGAACTAAATTAATTAGATTTTCAGCTTCGTTACGAATAAAAATAAATGCGCTACAATGAGTCAGTGATCGTGTTCTCTTCATTTTCAACAATCTACCCCAGCAGCTTATGAATATTGGTTCAGATCGCTAAAGGTGAAAAATATACACCCATATCCGAAGGCTTCGTTTCAGTCAAAGTTCGAACTCTTCATCAGTTTCTGTGTATCATCAATTGTATGCTTTTAATGGTTTTTCGAAATTTTTATAAAAATCTAGATTTGTAGAGAATATTTTCTCTAAAAACCTTCTGTATTTAAAATTAAAAATTCAGTAATCCTAATTCTATGCAACACTTATAGGCAAGTTTACTATTGATATAACTATGTGAACAGTTTATTTCATAAGCTTTACAATTTACATCTAACGAGGGAACATTCCCAAGTGATACCCGCCGTTTCAGCTCATATTGTGCCCAAAAGTAGATCTCGGTAAGACTAGAGAAAGTCTAAAAGGGTTCGTACCATTGCGCCTTTGGAGCCGAGTTATGTCTAATTTACTGAATTTTCGGCCCTTTTTAGGGTACTGATCGAAAAATCAAATTACGAAGTTTCCATCTGAAATTTCTAACATAGATAGATATAGTTACACATAGAATATCCTGAAAGTTTCAGCCGAATAGAATGTTCCTATGTGGAGATATTGGATCTCCAAAAAATAGTCATTTGCGACAGATATTTCACAAAAGTCGAGTTTAATTGAAAATGCAATAACTCGACAAAGGAACATTCTATTCGGCTGAAACTTCCAGGATATTCTATGTGTAACTATATCTATCTATGTTAGAAATTTCAGATGGAAACTTCGTAATTTGATTTTTCGATCAGTACCCTAAAAAGGGCCGAAAATTCAGTAAATTAGGCATAACTCGGCTCCAAAGGCGCAATGGCACGAACCCTTTTAGACTTTCTCTAGTCTTACCGAGATCTACTTTTGGACACAATATGAGCTGAAACGGTTGGTATCACTTGGGAATGTTCCCTCGTAAGCTAGTTCTGTTTGTAACTCTTCACAGGTAGGTATTTGTGTACAATTTTCTAATGCAATACGAAAAAGCCGTTCCAGAACTGTATTTGATTTGGAAAGACTTTCTTCTGTTGGGTATTCTTTCTTTCACCTGTTGCAATACTCCACTGTTGTGATAGTAAAGAAGTGGCGTATTTGCCAGATTCATTTTCATCAATAATTCTTGAGTTGAGTTCACTTGTACCAATGGCTTATAATGATTTACAAATTGAATCCCAGTTGAACGACCGTGATAGATAATTGGATTTGTTAAATTCAACATGATTAACTGATGAAATATTGGTATCGTTATACGGCCTCCCATCTCACTCCACCCAAATACATCGTGTGTTATATTAGTCTTTGAACTGTTGTATCTCTCATCGAATAGTCTATGAACTTTTTCTGTGTACTGCCGAAAGAGTAAGTGACCTGCTCGCACAGGTCCAAGGAAACCCATACTAATTTTCTCGTCATAATCACTGTGTAACAATATGGTACTCCTTCAAATGATTGTAATAACTTTTCAGTGATTGCAGAGCAACTGCATCAATATCAAGATAGACGCCTCCATATTGCTCTAGAATGCGACTACGAAAATAATCTGCACGGTGTGCCAAGATGAAATAGCGAGTTACAGGATGAATACTCTTCAAGTAGTGTGGAAAAGTTTGTCTCGTTAGTAATTTGATTGTAAAGTCTT